CTAATATATAAACAATCAGAATTCTATATGAAAGTTTTAGGTAAAAGCAGAAATTTTGTTTTAAGATATTTGAAGATCAATCTTAGATAATTAGTAGTTTGCTTTTAGTTATAACATGGTTGAATGAATTCATATATATAATTAAATATTAATTGAATTCTAGAAAAAAACCCAAAATAATCCAAAAATTTTGTAATTAATTAATTTTCAAATGATGATTTGACATACCTATTTATTTTAAGGTTGCTTGTTTAGTTGCTAAATCGTAAAAGAATCTAAATAATTTTGAGTTATTAGAAATATAAAAGAGATCTGGAATAATACAAGGGTCTCTTGTGAGCCAGAGTTTCAGATTACTTATTAATTTTTTACATTACCTACATTACATTACCTTTAACATCATGATTTCGTTAACTTAAATAGATAAAAAGTTGGCAATTGCTTTCATGTATGAATCTAATTAAGTTAAAAAAAAAATGGTAAAATCAGTTTTAAAAAGTCTCCCTTAGATATTTTATTAATTTTCATGATTATGCTTTATCATTACAAATGGTAGAAAATTCAAATAAATTTTGATTCTCCTCTATCACATCATTAAATTACTTTTAATGTTTACATTTTCTATTGATGTTTATTTTTTATCGAAGTAAACCAGAATTTCATCTTTTGAAGAAAATAATAAATATATATTATATAGATGTAATTACTCAAACACTCCTAATTAACATTAAAAATTAAAATAAATGATTTAATTAATTCCACATTTCATCGTTAATTAGAGTTTAGATTTAAAAATTAAGTTTTTCCAAAATAAATAAAATCGGATTATTAAATGATTTTAATAAACTAATAGCTTCTGAACTTAATGAGGCAATCTTATCAAATATTAAAGTAAATAAGATTTATTCTAGACCCTCTTTGGAAAGTCTTTTTAACAATTATATTTATGTTGCAAGAGAATTTTCAATCTTTATCTTGATTCTATTAATTTTGAGCATAAAAAAAATATAAGTATACAATCAAATAATGTGTCTTATAGACCTTAAATAGTTTTGAGGTAGTTAAAAGAAAATCGAGAATTTAAGGCTTTGTAGATTGGATCTGTAGGTAGAAAGAAAATATATATGCTCAGAATCTGACCTGCAATTCTAAGATTTATAGGAATATACAATAGATGATTAAGCTGGAAGGATTTAAAAGAGTAAACTCAAAATAACAATAGAAACTAAGTTATTTAGTAGATTGATACATTAAGTATGGGGTATAGAAGTAGATAATAGTAGTAAGAATAAATAAAAGATATATAGTGAGAAGGGCTTCTCATCTATCGATTGTTATATCAAAAATAATTAACATGCTTATCCATACAAAGTAAATGTGGAAAGAGTTAATGATAAAATTATAATAAAATATTATCACTATAAGAGTTATTTTCGTCTAAAGTATATAAAATTTTTAATAAACTATTTCTATTTATCTATCCCAATCCATGAAGTATAATTATCGTTCTTTGATTCAACTCAATTATCGAAAATCACAAATCTTCTTGTAGAGCTAATAATCTCTTAATTATATTTTTGACAGTATACTTAATAACTTCAAAAACAACTCAATAGAACCTAATCTACTAAATCATTCCCTAATGATATAATTTTTTCATTAAATGAATATAATCAAAATGAGTTTTGACATTAGAAAACTATAAATATATATATTATTTTCACATAAATAATATAATTATTAGTTATTGATATTTTTCTTCTAAATTCTATTCATCTGACTTATTAAATGTCTTAAATATACAATAGATTCTCTTGTTTTTCAATACTAAAATAGATTTTTAAGCTTATCTCAATTGTGAAAATATTAAAGGAATATAAAATATCTAATTAAAAGGTGGATTTTTAATGTATTTCTTCTACTCAATCCACAGAACTAAAAACCCTTAATTTACTTGAACCCTTTCGAAAAAAAGATTAAGTTAATTACTTAACACCAGAGTTTCAAAATTAGATATTATATGTTGTAATATTTAAAAGTGTAATAGTAGATCATTATATATCCTGTATTCTCATCTGAATCAATGAATTAGATGTTAATATGAGTGAATGTAGTATATTTCATGAGTAATGTTTCATTACTCTCTATTTTGAAGTAAAGAACTGGTCCAGATGAATTAATGTTATTAGATTTTTTAAATAAATTGTAGCAAATAAATTAAACATTTCCATTAAGAACTCTGATTTGGAATATTTATTATATTTATTCAAAACGATTTCTTCACTTTTCTGGAGTTCTCACTATAAATAAGATAATTAGATACAATATTCAAATAACATTTATTTTTGAATTGATATAGATTTAGCTTTAATTTACATCTCATTATCTAATAATCAAACAAATTTATTGTTACAATAACAATTATATTCAGAGATTATTTAATTTAATTGTATAGTAGATATATAGTTTTATTTACAAATTAGTGTATTTTATAATCAATAAAAATGATCATTTATTCATAGAATAATGAATAAGGTTTAGCTGTTTTTATTATTAATTGATGAATAACTATTTAAGATACATCATATAAATATAGTGTTATAATAAGTCTACATTTTAAGTAAATCTTGTTAAGCAATCTACACCTTAATGAAAACCTATCAATAATAAATTATTAAACGTTATTTCTAGTTATAATTAATAATAGATCTCATATAACATAGGCTCTTTGTGTTGAGAAATCATTAATAAAAACATTTTATATTAAAAGATGTAGTAAAGTTGTAAATTATTATTCCTTTTTTGGGATTGAATTTAATGTATTTGAAATCAAATTTATTTTAATAATCATAAATAACCATATTTAAATACAACTTTCCTTAATTAAAATTAAGGATCAACTTTAATCATATTTTTATTTAGATTTGGTATTATAATTTAAATGAAAGATCTTTAATGTATAATGTGAAACATCATTATTTTTATATGTTACCCGAAATGATTTAATATACAAATACAATTTGAACAAAAATTACCAAAATTTTCACACTTACTATTAATTAATTTGTATCCACAAGAAAAACTAATGAATTTAGATATTAGTATATACTTCAATATCCTTATATGATTTTAGCATTTGGCTTCCTATAGAATCTTATAATACGTATTTATTATTCTAAAAATAATGATTCTCTTAAAAATTAGATATATTTTAGCCTATAAATGTCTTAATTGTCCAAATTCAAAACCATTGTAAAATCATTATCTTTATTACAATAATTAGATGCACCTACAATAAATTATAAATTGAAATTCTAATCAATAAAATAAATATCGTTGTTTAAACTTGATCTTTATTATTTTAGATACTTATCATCTGATTTTGCTCTCTTTTCAGTGAAATAGTTAGTTTTACTTAAAGGAAATAGAGGCCAAATATTATGATCAAATAACAATAAATAATATCATGAGAGCAAAATATAAAATATCTAAATACACTGTAATTTATATATCAAAATAGGAAAAAAATTGAACTGTTTACTCCTAATTTAATTGGATAAATTAAAATTAATATAATTTAAGCTTTGATAAAGTAAATAGTATGAAAAATGTAAAACATAAATTTATAATCTATTATTATTTGAATGATAACACTTAATCTAAATTGAAAAACTATTCTCTAAGAATTACTTAAGGATTATATAAAATAATTAACAGAAATAAAATTAAATATTTTATCATTTATACTAATTGTTTAGAACAACAAATTTTTGATTTTTATATTTATTTAATATAAAAAATATTAATTATAAAATACAATCTTAATTTCAAACATATTCTCATTAATAGTATTTCAAATTAATAATGATAAATTATTATCAAAAGGTAATACTTATTATTGAATCAGAATAAATAAATTTTACCATTTTTATATTAAATTCATCAAAATTTCATCCTCTATATTTGATTTTGTTAAAAACTTGAATAAATCATCAGTAGATATTTTCAATAATTAATTTAAATAATATGATAAGAAGTTCAACTAATTTAAACTAGGCATCAAAATATTAGCCAATTTATTTCTTATTTGAAGTTATGACAAAATGAAATTCTTTTGATTATGGCTAATGCAGTATAATTAAATATTAAATATTTATAAATGGAAAAAGGTGCTCTATCATTAAGATAAAAAAAATCACATAAGAAGAAATTATGTTTTAAAATACTCATAGATTCAGGACATGAAGGCCTTGAGTTGTGAAGAAAAGGATTTGGCAGAATAATTGTGGCATTATGATATTTGATAGATTCAATAGTCATGATGCTCGATATGATTATTTTAATCAACCAGATACAGTTTTAATATATTATAAATTAAATTTTAGTTTAAAATCATTCGAGTGAAATATATATTTACTCCTCAACCAACTTCTTCAAATTCATTGACCTAGTTGATTGTCATAAGTAGAATGCTCCAAGTGATTGAATAAATGATTGCTAGTATCTTAAGTATACTGCTAACTTTTTTATTTAATCTAATAAATTACAAGTTTATAATATATTTATGAACTTAAATATTTTATAGAAAGTGTTTTACTCATTAAGGCGTAGTTCAAGATTATGAATTAGAATTTCGAACCCTGAAGAATGTCAGTATAATGACTTCTATAATTGGGTTTACATTTAACTTATCCTGATATAAGTATAAATTATAGATTTCGAAGTAAAAATTAGATGAAAATGACGATTTAAAGAAAATATTAGAATTATATTAATAAGTTTTAGAATAAAATTATAAGCCTAAGAGGTTGATGTGAGAATTTAGAGTCAAAAGAGAAATATATTGAAGAAATTATAAAAAAATGACTATTTTAAATATCAGAAAAATAGAAGATTAAATTAATAAAATTTTTAATCACATTCTGAAAGAGAATAAGATTTTAAAGACTATTTTATAGACGTAAAATTAAAGAAACCTTTATTAAATTTTGAGATTAACTGAGGTATTGGGACAATTTTGATAAGCTGGTGAAGATTTAATTAATGTATTAATTCCTCTGTAGATTTAAGATTTAATAATTAAAACCTATGATTAAAATATATTTACAAAAATCTTCTATTTAAATGCCGATAGATAAGCAGCAGGTATGGAATTTATTATTACTAATTTTCAAACTTGATCAGAATATGATTTAGTAAATTTTAAAAAAAATCTACATAAATTTTAGAATACAGTAATAGTACTATTGTTGGAAACCTTTTTAACAAACAATATTGATGCTAAATAACTATGATTGCAAAATTGACATACGATACAGAGATGGATTGATCTTGATTGAACCTAGTAATATGAGAGAACATAATAGGAATCCATAAAAGTATATTATTATAGGATAGGGAATTACTCTAGAAAAAGGAGGTGGACCATTCATATTAATCCACTATTTTTCATAAGAATATTGCAGCGAAGATGTTAACTTCAATTTTTTAAATGGGGTTTCCAAATTTAATATTAATGATAATCTCCAATTTACTTATGAAAATATGTATTTATTGTTTGAATTAAGTAAATGATATATTTAAATTAGATTATATATTTGAAGTTCCTTAAAGAGTTGTGTAAAAAACTATAGAATGCAATATTTTATATTTGAACAATAAAGTTGTAAACTAGGGTAGGATCATTCAATTTTACATAAAGTAGGGGGATTGCTACACTCTTTCAATTTAGAATAAGTTAGAGCTCCATTGTTTAAATATATTCTAATTCATACATATGTTCCTTAAAAATCCAGGGTTAACATATTTGGATTGAGTTTTTAGAACATTGATCAAAAATATTGCAACTTCTTACTATAATAAAAATTTATATGAGAAATACATGGCTTTGATGACTACAACATGTGACTTAGATTTTGCAAAACAAAAAAAAGCAGGAAATTACTCAAATCATCTTTATTTTTAGTAATTCCAAAGGAGTAAAGCTCCTTTGATAAAAATTTTTGATCAATTAGGTCTTGGTTACAATAGTACTCCTATGATATTTTTATTTAGAAATAAAATTTTGTATATTAATTTTTATCAATAAATATGGAAGTCATAAGAAATTTTTAACATTATGATCTTTGCAAAATAACGCAATCAATAGAATATTTGTTCTTCCTCATTACAACAAGCTTACTATCAATCTTATATTTTTGAAATATAGAAAATACAGTAATTTCTAGAATAGTTTTTAATTATTTAATTTTATAATATTTTATTTAAGTGATAATATGATCTTTAAAGATTTTGAATATCATATAATTATTAAGAGCTCAAAAATTTCAATTTATTGTTGAGCAAACAATAAGATACTCTAATAGACTGTTATCTTTGTGATGGAATTTTAAATTAATAAAAATTGATATTTAATAAAATCAAGTGAATACTACAGATTATTGAAAGGAGTTATTGAATCTAACACTCACTTAGAAAAATAATTATTGTCTTATTTTAGGCTATGTGATAGTTCATACGACCTAGATTATAGAATTAAACATAATATAAGATTTTAATTTAATTCCAAAATCTTTCCTTGAGATTATGGATTGAATCTTAGAATTTTTGAATTAAATAGAACTCTATCATATATAAAAGAATTCTATATAAAATAAATCCTATTATATTGCGAATTAGATTATTATTCATGATTGTATTTTTGCAATATAAGGATGATTCAGAAATCATATTTTTTTTACCCCGATTAGATATACTGGTAAAATTAAGAAAGAGAAGAAATGAAATTCTAATATTTATGAGAGATTTCTATTCAATGCCAAAGTATTTGCAATGAGGAGAATAAAAGAATAAATTCTAAGATGGGTATATTAAATGTAGTTATATACTAAAAGGGCAATTAATCTATCAAATTTTAGTGTGCTTATGCTAAAAATGAAATATATATTTATAAAGACTTTGAGTACAAGATGGTACTTTTATAAAATTGATTTAACAAAAAGTGAATTTATTTTATATCCAAATTGCTCAATATCTAATTTTGAAACGATATTTATATTATCAAAGATTAACATTTTCTTTTTCTATTATTTAGTTTCAAAATTTTCATGAAATTCTATTTCTAAACTTTATCTAAATATATGACTCTAACTAACTTTTAAAATTTATTATACTTTTTATATATATAAATAAATTAAATATTGCATATTTTAATTTAAGTTGATTATGATTATAATTCATCAAATATCAACCAATGTGATTTATAACAGTTTCTATGGAGACCGTATAAATAGAATTGATAATATCAACTCATCTTCAGAAATTTAAATTAACATAATTTCATCTTTCAAAACTACTTTTTATAACCTAAAAGAATATGTTATTGTATGATCAACTGTTTAGTGGCATTGATTTAACCATATATTTTCTTAATTATTAGATCCATTCTCATAATTCGATATACTAAATTAACTTTAAACTTTCTTATTCTAAGAGCATTGGAAAATGATTTAAATATTTATATATGAATAATCTTTATCCATGATTTCTATATATTGACCAACTTGATTATAAACTTATTTTTCAAATTGGTCAATTTTTAGGTGAATTCTACTAGTTTAAGCAGATTTAATTTTGAATGTTTAAATAATGCTTAAGTCTGAGAATTAAAAATTAGTAGTTTCCTTAAAATTAGCATACTACTCTAGGTTAAAACATTTATGCTTAAATAAGAAATGATTATCTGGGCAACTAAAACAGCTACCCTCAAAGCAATACGAACAAGAACAAGGTTTTGAACATACATGACATCCATCCTCAAATATTATATTACCATCATCACATTATTCATCTGCAACAACTAATTTATCTCCACAAATAGGTGTACAAGTACCATTAATATTTTAAAATCCACTTTAACATACTGAACAACCATGTCCTCCGATACTACAGCTCAAACATTAAGAATTACATCTTGGATCAGGATAGTAATCATAAATTTTAAAGCAGGAATACTTAAGTAAATAATAACCTTCATGACAATCATAACAAACACCCTTGCGACAATCTGAACAAAAAATAGGACAACTAAAAGAACATTAATGACAACCATCACCAAAATTTAAGTTCCCATCATCACATTCTTCATCTTCTGTAACTATTTTATCTCCACAAATTGAAAAACATAAATTATCAATTCTATTGTAACCATTCTTACAAGCGTTACAACCTAGTCCAGTATTATCACAAGTAATGCAAGAGGATTAACATTTTGCTTAGCAATTCTAACAACCCTTATAGGGTAATATAAATGGAACTTCACATTGTTCATAAGGTACTATTATTTAATCTCCACATATTGGAATACATATTTTGGAATCAGAGAGCAAATAGTGAGGAGCACATTATTCGCATCGATCATTTACACAATTTATGCAAATTGATGTTGGCTAACACTAAAATCAACAAAAGTTATTGCATCCATCATATTCAGTTTTATTTCCATCATCACATTCTTCAAAATAGATACTATATGGATCTTTTACAACAAACCCATCTCCACAATAATTTTTGCAATAAAACTTTTGTGGAAAAAATCCAGGTAATTCACAACTTAAACATTTATTAATATTATAATTGCAAGAAGAACATCCAATTCTACAGAAATATTTACAATTTTTGCATCCATCTGTATCAATTTCATTTCCATCATCACATTATTCTTATCCAAACATCAGGACAAGGTAAAGTAGTTGCCCCATCACAAGTTAGACAATGAGCTGGACATTAAAATTAACAATTAAAGCATAAATCATCTAAAAGAGTATTATTATCTTCACATTATTCATACCCATATATTTATAAATCTCCACAAATAGGTTAACATTCTCCATAAATTAAATGATATCCTTCATCACTAGAATTACAAGTAATTGTATGCCATAATTATTAATTATTAGCGCATAATTTATAACATGTACTTAATAAAATATCTTCTATATCTGGGCAATCTAAAATTAATAATAATCTAAATACTTGTACAAATACTATTTAATTCATAATAGCCATTGAAACATACACATTATAATCCTTTTAATATTCTATTTAAAGATGTATCACAACTCAAACAACTATCTACTGTTTCTTGAAAACAAGTTTAACAGGATGAATGGCACTAAGAACATGATTTAGACACTGCATTATAAAATAATCCTGAGGGACATCTGCATGTTGATCCAACAATTTCAATATTACCAATATTATTACAAGTTAAACAATCATCAGAAGTAGGGCCAGTACAAGTGTTACAAAATTAATAACATCTTTAACATTAAAGATTCTCTAAAATTGGATGCAAAATAAGGATGATTCAGAAATCATATTTTTTTTACCCCGATTAGATATACTAGTAAAATTAAGAAAGAGAAGAAATGAAATTCTAATATTTATGAGAGATTCCATTTAATGCCAAAGTATTTGCAATGAGGAGAATAAAAAAATAAATTCTAAGATGGGTATATTAAATGTAGTTATATACTAAAAGGGTAATTAATCTATCAAATTTTAGTGTGCTTATGCTAAAAATGAAATATATATTTATAAAGACTTTGAGTACAAGATGTACTTTTATAAAATTGATTCAACAAAAAGTGAATTTATTTTATATCCAAATTGCTCAATATCTAATTTTGAAACGATATTTATATTATCAAAGATTAACATTTTCTTTTTCTATTATTTAGTTTCAAGATTTTCATGAAATTCTATTTCTAAACTTTATCTAAATATATGACTCTAACTAACTTTTAAAATTTATTATACTTTTCTATATATATATATATAAATAAATAAAATATTGCATATTTTAATTTATGTTGATTATGATTATAATTCATCAAATATCAACAAATGTGATTTATAACAGTTTCTATGGAGACCGTAGAAATAGAATTGATAATATCAACTCATCTTCAGAAATTTAAATTAACATAATTTCATCTTTCAAAACTACTTTTTATAACCCAAAAGAATATGTTATTGTATGATCAACTGTTTAGTGGCATTGATTTAACCATATATTTTCTTAATTATTAGATCCATTCTCATAATTCGATATACTAAATTGACTTTAAACTTTCTTATTCTAAGAGCATTGGAAAATGATTTAAATATTTATATATGAATAATCTTTATCCATGATTTCTATATATTAACTAACTTGATTATAAACTTATTTTTTAAATTGGTCAATTTTTAGGTGAATTCTACTAGTTTAAGGAGAGTTATCTTTGAACGTTTAAATAATGCTTAAGTCTGAGAATTAAAAATTAGTAGTTTCCTTAAAATTAGCATGCTGCTCTAAGTTAAAACATTAATGCTTAAATAAGAAATGATTATCTGGGCAACTAAAACAGATACCCTCAAAGCAATACGAACAAGAACAAGGATTTAAAACATACATGACATCCATCCTCAAATATTATATTACCATCATCACATTATTCATCTGCAACAACTAATTGATCTCCACAAATAGGTGTACAAGTACCATTAATATTTTAAAATCCACTTTAACATACTGAACAACCATGTCCTCCGATACTACAGCTCAAACATTAAGAATTACATCTTGGATCAGGATAGTAATCATAAATTTTAAAGCAGGAATACTTAAGTAAATAATAACCTTCATGACAATCATAACAAACACCCTTGCGACAATCTGAACAAAAAATAGGACAACTAAAAGAACATTAATGACAACCATCACCAAAATTTAAGTTCCCATCATCACATTCTTCATCTTCTGTAACTATTTTATCTCCACAAATTGAAAAACATAAATTATCAATTCTATTGTAACCATTCTTACAAGCGTTACAACCTAGTCCAGTATTATCACAAGTAATGCAAGAGGATTAACATTTTGCTTAGCAATTCTAACAACCCTTATAGGGTAATATAAATGGAACTTCACATTGTTCATAAGGTACTATTATTTAATCTCCACATATTGGAATACATATTTTGGAATCAGAGAGCAAATAGTGAGGAGCACATTATTCGCATCGATTATTTACACAATTTAGGCAAATTGATGTTGGCTAACACTAAAATCGACATTAGTTATTGCACCCATCAGAATTAGTGTTATTTCCATCATCACATTCTTCAAAATAGAATCCATATGGATCTTTTACAACAAACCCATCTCCACAATAATTTTTGCAATAAAACTTTTCTGGAGAAAATCCAGGTAATTCACAACTTAAACATTTATTAGTATTATAATTGCAAGAAGAACATCCAATTCTACAGAAATATTTACAATTTTTGCATCCATCTGTATCATCTTAATTTCCATCTTCACATTATTCTTATCCAACTATTAATTAATCTCCACATCTTTCTTTACATATCCAAGGTTAAACTGTCGGATCAACATACCAACCACCAGTATTACATTCAAAACATTATCCTTTAATGCATTTTGTACATTAAAGTTAACATTAAAATTTACAATCAAAGCATCCATCATATTATATAGTGTTTCCGTCTTCACATTCTTCCATTCCAGTAATCATTCCATCTCCACAAACATCAGGACAAGGTAAAGTAGTTGACTCATCACAAGTTAGACAATGAGCTGGACATTAAAATTAACAATTAAAGCATAAATCATCTAAAAGAGTATTATTATCTTCACATTATTCATATCCGTATATTTATAAATCTCCACAAATAGGTTAACATTCTCCATAAATTAAATGATATCCTTCATCACAAGAATTACAAGTAATTGTATGCCATAATTATTAATTATTAGCGCATAATTTATAACATGTACTTAATAAAATATCTTCTATATCTGGGCAATCTAAAATTAATAATAATCTAAATACTTGTACAAATACTATTTAATTCATAATAGCCAGGGGAACATACACATTATAATCCTTTTAATATTCTATTTAAAGATGTATCACAACTTAAACAACTATCAACTGTTCCTTGAAAACAAGTTTAACAGGATGAATGGCACTAAGAACATGATTTAGACACTGCATTATAAAATAATCCTGATGGACATCTACATGTTGATCCAACAATTTCAATATTACCAATATTATTACAAGTTAAACAATCATCAGAAGTAGGGCCAGTACAAGTGTTACAAAATTAAT